ATCAAAAAGAGTTTGTGCTTCTAACTTTTAACAGAAGAAAATGAATATATTATCAGACGAAAACTTTTAAAAAAAGTATTCAGATGAATATTCCCCAGTTTCTGTAACATTAAATTTGTCGCCTAAAGTATCTTAGCTTATTGGCTGGGAATCCTCTCGTTCAATTAAGGGTATATTTTACTGTTTTATAGAGGGGAATATTTCCTATACATACTATAATAGGAACTTATTTACCAACTTTTTCAAGGTTTTATAGTTTCAAAAAGTATCTAAATTTTACTTACAAATTGTATATGTTTCCCCCTTAAAAGGCTCTCACCCCATTCATAATATCTTTAATTAAGGAATTTAATTATATCCTTTCCTTTTTTCTCTCTTTTCCTCATTCCTTGCATCCTAATTTCTTCAGTAGATCTTCTTTTCTCTCTCTTTGATAGTTGTACGTCTTCAACAAGAAGATGGTAATTTTGCTTCTTTATTGAATGGTTTTGGTTGGAACCATCCAATACTGGGTATAACGCCATAAAGGAAAGTTCTATGTTCCTATTATCCTTACAATATTAAGAAAGTGATCCCTAATCTAACAAATCCAATAACACAGGGTTGCTTTCCAAAATAGCAACAAAAAAACTTTATTGTGCCGTTACAAATCTATACACACGGAAATGTCAGCTATATAACAAATATTCAGTTGCTAACCAAGTTTCTTCAACAATTCAAAAATCCTTAAACTCTAGCAAAACTATTATTAATAGGATAATGGCTCGTACAAATCCAAATGTGAAATTGGACACGATTTACAATAGCTCATGGCCATATACAACTAATATAAAATTATCATACATTTGATATACAATTTCTGCAACAATTATGATATAAATATAATTATGATACAATCGTGATACAATTCTGATCTTCATGTTCTTCAAGTTTCAATCACAACTCTAAACTTAAAGTCAGATACAATATTATATTATAATTGTATTAATATTGTATCAGGTATTGTTTTAGGTATTGATGTAACATATACAACTTTGATACAATTGTGATATAATTATGAAACAAATTTGGTACAATTATGATACAATTATCATACAATCGTAATATAATTCTAAAACTTCTTTTTCTTCTTCCAGTTTCGATATAATTTTACCTAAAACGAACTCTAAAGTTAACCAATCTCTCTCAAATTGGATATACAAATTCTAAAGTATATTCTCAATTGTTTGCAAGAACACTCAATTCAAAACAAATCACAAATTCATAAAACCCAAATATTGATACAACTGTGATACAATTATCATACAATCATGATACAGTTATGAATTTTTTTTTTTTCGAGTTTCAATATGAAATTTTACCTAAAAACTAATCTAAACTTAACCAATCTCCCTCAAAATTGAGATATAAATTCCAAGGTATATTCACAGTTGTTTGTAAGAAAATACAATCTAAACAAATCACAAATTCATAAAATCCAAATATTGAATTCAAAGCTTTTAATAGTTCTCAATGGAGAATACTTTATTGCTACATTTTTAGAAATAATGTTCATGGAATTGTGTGAAGAGGGAGAGATTTGTATGTAAGATTAAGAAACTTTTTGAAATCTTTTTGAATATGGGATGAAAACGTGATTTAGAGGCTTTGTATGACTGATATGTATGAGAGTAGGGGGAGGAGTAATGTTGGGAGGGGGGCTATTTTAGTTACATCCTAATTTTAAGGGATACTCTCTTCATTAAGGTTTTGTATATNAAGTAGAAAATATAGATAGAGAATATAATTTTTAAGGAACTTATAGAAAAGTGATAAATAAATTTCTATTATAGTATTACTAGGTAAATTTCCCTTTATAGAGCCCATCCAAATATTATGGCTTGTGTACCCTTCAAATCTTGGCTGTCTAATTCTTTTCCCTGGTAACCAAATAGGCTGAAATGCATAGAAAGACATTAGCTAAGGCAAGTACTGCTAATCTTATCACACACATATAAAGACTGAACTTTCAAAACAACTAGTAAGTACTATTGAAAAAATAATTGATCATTTAAAGGAACCCCAAAAGTTATACAAAATTTGCGAATTCATTCCTTCTTAGAAAACTCACTGAGAACAACAGGTAGCATTAAGCCTTCCTAATAATCACAGATGACTGACATAAAATCCTAATCCGACTATGGAAAATACAATAGCTCTGCCTTGGGAGATGCTCTGGGGAAACGCGCCAATTATACGACAATATTCCTTTCTTCCTTGGAACCAGATGCTTTTACATGATTAATGCTCATACTTGTTAAAGATGGACAACGACCAAACAGAAGCTTTACGAAAAACAGTTCAGTTTTTGAACCCTTAAACAAATGTATGTCCACATATTTGAGCTTGTTGAGTGGTAGGTTCAAGCAGTCTGCTGTGTCTAGATATTCCGAAACTGCTTCAACAGTGTCACTAGTAGTATCGACATAATGGTACAAGGATACACAAGGTCTTTTAGATTCTCATATTTAAATATGAAGTGCAAAAACGAATTATATCATGCATATATCCACTAGCTAGAATATGGCCACATGTATTTGCCATTTTTTACCCAAATCTCAAGTTTACTCAATTTGTGGGAGCTCTTAATCAACTCGAGAGTGTAAGAAATCTGACCCATTTGGCTGAAGTTTACACCTAGCCTTAGATGCCACAAGCAGTTGAGTGTAAAAGGAAGCCCTTGTGGAACTTTACCTGCACTCAACAGCTTTGAAGCAAATACAAAAATAAGAATCACATGAATAGGGACGATCCCTATAAGATATCCAAGTCAAACAACACCTCAGACTTTTACCTCAGGGAAAGATGAAGTGAAAGTAAGCACCTCAAGTATAGGCAAGCTAAGAAGAAACTTTTCCAATTTTGATCTTTCAGCGGATATCGGATTATGTATCACAAGGTATAAAGTTTTCAAATTTATACAGATCATAAAGCAACTTAGGTCAATATCATAGTGACTCTCACGAACAAACAAGGAATTCAATCGCGATGAAACAATTTTCAAGTATTTAGTACCGTTACAGTACATAAAGGTCAGATGAACAAGAAGGGGCGCATTGATAACACAAAACTCTGCAGTTGGGACAAAGGTTATTTTTTCTGGACGAAATGATACAAGATTCAGAAAGCCAAGAAAAGATGTTGGTGGTTTGAAGACACAGTTTAAGAGTTCCAAATGTGTAAGTGTTGGACAATTATTTCTAATATATAGAAGAGCCTTGGAAGCAGCTGCCCGTTGTCTTGCTAGCTTGCCGACCAAGGCCTCTTTTTGTCATTTCAATGTTTAGCTTTTATAATTTGTTGACCATTTAAAGTGGCTCTGATATTTGATTGGTTCAAATAAGTTGATTACCGTACTAACTTTATTAATTTTTGTTGTACAGACTTTTTAGCCCTTTAAGGGAACCGTGTATGCTTTCAAGTGAGTCCATCTCCCCTTGCAATTCCGGCTGAAAAATCCATTTCCATGCCTGGCAATATATAAACTTGCTCATTTCTATTTATGCTTGTGAGGAGACAAATGTTTGGTTTTTAACTCATTCAACCCATTATTTATTAGAGGGAAATTTAAAGTGTTTGAAGCTATTATTAGCCTTCATTCGTGTTCTGCTTATATTTCTCTGCATAAAATGATGTATCAGACAAATAAAAAGCACATTTTAAAACTGTATATATTCATGACTACTTCTAAATTCTAAAGCTCATAGCTGCCACTATCAAACTGTTTTGAAATCTCAAGAACTAATTTTGTATATCATAAGCTAATAACAGATATTAAGGTAATTTAATTTTATAAATTTTCTCTAAATTAATTTGGTAGATCATACTAAAATTATTTTATGTGGTGATTGATTTTTTACTTGAAATTGTAATGCACAAAAAATTGTACTAGATGTTAATTTATTTTAACAGAGACTTTTTTTAAAATAAATTAAATTATTTACAGGAAAAGATTTATCAAATCATCTTGCAGTACCTTTTGCTATGGTTAACTTTGGTAATTTTAGTTTTAAAAGCTCTTGATATGGTGACTGTATCAAATACTACTAACAATACGTGCACATTGTTTTATGAAATAGTTTGGTAAATTCAAGTTGAAGAAAAATATTTTGCAAAAGACTTTTCTTTTGGGGTTATATTTTAGTTTAATTGTCTATTATAAAGTTAGATTTCATTTTAAGGTCTTTTTATCTATTCAAAATTTTCTCAAAAGATTTCCAAATAAATCTGTAAGTGAGCTCTGAGAATACATAAGGTTTTTAAAGTTTTGTTTACTTTGCAATTACTAACCTGTATTAACTAAGACTGTACTTTCTAAATAATCCAAATGAAAATGAGATGAATGGAGCACACAAAAAGATATTAAAGGTTCATAATTTGTAACTTTGCTCAGGTGCTCAGGTAAGCAAGATAAAGCTAACGAGGTAAAAATAACTTTTTAAAATACATAGAAATGAGAGTGAATCTTCCGAATATCTAAGTTTGAAACTTTGATAACATAGCAATAAACTAAAATAAAAAAATTTAAAATATCATAATTAAATTAGTATCTAAAAGAAAGAGAGCTAGAACCAAGAATGAGCACACAAAATTCACATTATTAATTCAAGCATTTTACTTCTTTTGAAAAAAAATCTCGAATTGGTTGCCTTTGAGAAACATATTTATTTCCTCAATTTCATGTATCTTATCTTTCTTTATCTTATCTTAATGTTCTAAAAAGTTGACAATAGAAATACATATATGTTCCTATGATTATTTTTATTCCTCTAGGAGTAAAAAAATAAAACAATTAATTAGGTTAATTGAATTTATACTGGGTGGTTGTTGTTGAATTTAAAATACAACAGTAAATTATAACAAGTGGAAAACAAACTTCGTAAAAGTTTAGATCGTTGGGCCCGTGCGTGAGCACGGACAAAGTAATATAGTATATATATAAGAAGGTAGTTTATAAGTACCGTTATTTGACATGTTAAGGGTTAGCTTCTTGACACCGTTTCTGGTGACATAGAGCATCCATCTATCAATATCGGGACACAAAGACAACTGTACTCCTGAGACATCCAGATCAAATATCACCACATCTCCAAGATGCTGTAAGAGAATCTTATCTATAGTTTCTTTGAAGACATATTGAGATCTTGCTGCTAATTTGTTGCAGAAGAGCTTATTCAGCACAAAACTTGGAAGTATGGAACAAATATATCTCCAGTATTTTGATGGAATACTAGTTCTTGCTGCATCTTGAATAGGCAGGGAGTCAAGAATATGATCTATAACATTTCTTGGCAGATAACTGATTCGATCTTCTTTGTCCCCTGCAACCGCAACTCCTTTACTATCTGTTAGAAGAAGTTGAAGTAGTCTTCAGCTTAAAAATTATAAGCCAAAAGAAAAGAGGAAAAAAAAATAGGGAGAGTTGTATACCTTGAATCATGCTGATTCTGTAACGTTAATTAGCCTCTTAAAATACAGAGTAAGAAGGACATTTATATATAGTGAAGCAGATAGAACCAAGAGGTCTCTTCGTATTTATAATATTCAAAGTGTCTCTTCATTTATCCATCAGGAGTCACTGTCACACCTCCTTTTTGCGCGCCCGGACCCGAAGGGTTAAATGCGCGAGGGGAGTTTTTCCAATTTAAGTGACAATATTCGAAATGAGATTATTTATTTAATTCAGAGTCGCCACTTGGGAAAGGTTTGACTTTTGGTGTCCCAAGTCACCGGTTTATCTTGAATCCCAAATCGAGGAAATTTTCGACTTTTCCAAATGAAGTCTGCGAACCAGAAATTCTAAGTAAGGAATTCTGTTGACCCGAGGGAAGGTGTTAGGCACCCTCGAATCCCGTGGTTCTAGCACGGTCGCTTAAATTGTTATAATGGCTAAATATCTGATTTAAATACATGTTATGACTTACGTGCTTTTATTAAGTTTAAACCGCTTTTATTATTATCATTTATTTTTATAGAATTGCAACGTCGTGAAAATGTATCTCGAACTACGTCGCAATCAATGCACCCGTAATTGTTAAACACACTTCGACTCCGTTGAGATTTGGATTCGGGTCACATCAATGCGCACCCAAATTTAAGAATATAATTTAATCGAGCCGCGCCTAAAGAGTTTAACGCATTATTATTTTTGGAGAAGGCCATGAAATTTGCTAAACGGCCTGTCCCGAATTCTAAATATTTATTATGGTTAGTTATTGAGGGCCCCGCAATTTGCATTCTTACTTGGCAAGGCTCGTCTCATTATTTTAGAAAAGGATATCCTGAAGCGACTACATTTCTATTGCGTTTGTCTCAAAAAAATAAAAGAGAAAAAAATACCAAACTTACTTGTTTAAGTAACTAACATACTAAATCTCTACTGTATATGACGAGTCCGAATTTTGCTTGATTGCCTAATTGATTGTTTATGAGGTGAGAATTATTTCATGCCTCGTCTTCAAGGAGTGAATAAGTTTTGTTAATTTGATAGGAGGGATTGCAAGCAACAGATAACTCATACTAAATTTACATTAAACAAACCTTAAGTTTGAACTTTATAATTAACTTATTTAGGCTTGATAAATGAAATCGGCTACTTATTAAGAAAAACTACTGTTAATTGGATTCGAGAATGCCTATTAGTTTTCCTCGAAAGTCATCGCATTATTCCGAAACGATGAATCTATATTGAATCCCATATCGAAACTATGTAGAAACAAGTAGTCTAACAAAAGGGTTGGCGTACATTATTACCCTGTTAACGTAACGCTGCATGAGAATTAGTTTGGGGTACACTTATCTTGAAGTCAAATGGAACCGAATGTAGCAGATTCGATGGTTCAGAGATCTAGGCAAAAATACATACATATGCTTGCTATGATTCTATGTTATGATGTCATAACTGAAATAAAACTAACGGTTGTATGCATTAAAACACATCTGATCTATCAAGCCAATGCTATCTAATTGCTCATCTCAACTTAGAATGTATGTTAATTTATACAGAGTATTTGCAGTTTGCAGTTAAACAAATACAGGCCAAACTAACATTCAACCTATTTTTGAACACAAGTATTATAACATAACCAGACATTCGTTTCTTTATTTCTGCTTCAACTTCAAACTTTCAACAACATATGGTTTCAGAAGTTGTGTACCTGGAAATGTTTGACAATTGAAGAAAAAGGGAAGTCAACAGAGTAACAATGGCAACAAGTGCAGCAGCAGTAACAGCAGGTAACCAAAATCCCAGTGCAAGATGCAGTTGGAGCCGATGGAAAAATGGCAGAAAGACAGCAGCAAACAATGCAGTAGAAACAAAACTCCAAGACAGACCAAATCCAGGAGAAACAAACAATGTGAATCAACCAATGAACTCAGCTGATACTTGAAAGAAAACAGAGTTGATTGAACAGGTTGAACAAACTGAGAATCACACAAACAAAGAAGAAACAGTTGCAGATTTTCTGTATCCTTTCCTCTCTCGTAGGTGTCTGTATATATCTAACAATCAAATCTCCAAAAAAGTCTGAGTTTTGTCTAAAGATCTACCTGCCTTTTCCTTTTTCAAAATTTTTGTTTTCAAAATCAATTCAGTTCCCAAAATTCAATCTCATTCCCCCTTTCCTAATATCAGATGTATTCCTTTCCTTTCTCTGTCTCCTATATGTTCTGTGTGTATTAATATGTATGTATTTCAGCTCTCTCCTCAGATCTCTCTTGATCTCCTCTATCTTTTTTCTTAACAATTCCCTCTGTCTCTATCTATCTCCCCTTATCTCTCAATGTGCCTCCCCTTTATAAGCCTTAACATCACCCCTTTTACAACCTGATCGACTAACCAGATACCCCTCCCATGTGCTTTCTTCTTTTCAGTTCTACTTAGCTATTTAAGTATTAGAAACCCATCACATTCCCTGGCAGACTTACCCTTTTGAAAGAGGTTTAATACTTCTTAACTAAAGCAGGGTAATGGGCAGCAGAATATATCTGACAGCATGTGCTGTCGAATATTTTATTCAAAAGCCCTTATGCAGTGCACAGGCTGTGCACAAATGCACATGTTGTGCAGAAAGTGCACATGCCCTCCAATTCAGAAGTTAAACAAACATTCCTTTTACATTTCTAATTCAAATTAACAACTATAAGTAAACAAACTCAGTTCCTAATCGATTCAAACAATTGTGTCCAGAAGCAAATCGATTTGTTATTGTTCAGGCAATTGAAACTAATTGACGACACATGTCGATTCGACTATATTAATCATAACATGCACAATCGTAGCCAAAAATCAGACATTTAACAGTATCGACACATGATTTGAATTATACTGACTAAACAAAGTGGTACTCGAGGAATCAGTTGATCAGTCAAAATTTGAAGCTCAATTATTCGCATAGCACATACATACATACACATTATCAGAATAGGAGAGGGATTCAAACAAACACAGAGGTTCAGGTAAAGTGGACAAACAACAGTTGATAAAAATTCAAAGACACAAATTAAAACAAAACATGAACAGACCTTTAATCAATCACATGGACTA